GGGCGGAGCTCCCCGCTCTCTTGCCTTGGAGGAGGCGACGCGGCGGCCCGGGCGGAGCTCAAGCGCTCGCCGATGTCGGGTCCTGTCCCCCGACAGTTCCATGACGGCACGACGGATCCGGTCCCGATGCGGGCGGATCCGGTGGCGACGAGCTCCGGCACGACGGATCCGGCCCCGACGCGGGTGGATTCAGCGGCAGCGGGCTCCACCGTGGAGGATACGGCGGTGGCGACCTCAGGCACGGCGGAAGCGGCCCCAACCCGGGCGGTTCCGGTGGCAGCGGGCTCCACCATGGAGGATCCGGCGATGGCGACCTCAGGCACAGCGAATCTAGCCCCGACGCGTGTGGATCCGGTGGCAGCGGGCTCCACCATGGAGGATCCGGCGGCGGCGACCGCAGGCACAGCGGATCCAGCAATGATGCGAGCGGATCCGGTGGCAGCGGGCTCCACCATGGAGGATCCGATGGCAGCGACCTCAGGCACGGCGGATCCGGCCCCAACGTGGGCAGATCCGGATCCGTCGCCGGTGGGCTCGCCAGTGGGCTCGAGAATGGGCTCGCCGGCGGGCTCCTGGTTTTTTTTGTTTTTTTTAATGATTAACCGCAGCGGGCATCCTAACGTGCCCGCCGTGGTAAAAGTACATTTAGCGCGGCGGGCACGTTACACCGCTCGCCGTGTTAAATCAATTAACCGCGGCGGGCAAGGCCGCCCGCCGCGGTTAAGCCACGATTTACCGTGGCCTCTAGGCCTCGGCGGACGGCTTTGCCCGTCGCGGAAAACTGAAAACGCCCGCCTCCAGTAAAGTTTGTGTAGTAGTGAACCTCTCTAGAAACGACCGGACTCGGCAGAGGTGCGTCCGGTCTTGGCACTGTGCTGTGTCCGGTCATCACTTGACCGTTGAGATCAAGCAACTAAGGTTGAATGGAGGAGACACATGGCGTGCATCCATTAACTGAACGCTGGACCTGGTGCGTCTGGTCGATCTGACCGGAGCGTCCGGTCACCCCGAGCTATGCCTAGTAAAGAGGTACAACGGCTCTATTTTTGTGGGGGCTATAAATAGAAGGGGGTCTCGGCCTTGGGCTGTCAACTGAGCACACTAGAGCCTTGGTGGCTTATGTGGTGGTGCTTGGGAGCCCTCCATCTCACATATGCTTGATAGTGATCATCCGATTATGTGAGAGAGCGATTCTAGTGTGATTGCATCATGTGGTTGCATCGAGTGGCACTAGGTGGTCGTCTTGCAAGTCGGTGGTGCTTGTTAGTCTTGGAGGTTGCCACCTCCTCGACGTCTTGGTGGTGGTCTCCGTTGAAGCCCGCAAGAAGCTTATGCGGTGCTCTGAAAAAGAGCTTTGTGAGGGGCATTGTGCTTGCCCCGCGGGAACCGCGAAGAGCATCTCTAGTCGAGCATGTCATTGAGCTACCCTCACTTTTGGGGTAGGTTCTTGCGGTACACGACGTGCGAGCTTGGTGGGTGATGCTAATTAGTCGTCGAACCACCAAGTGAGCGGTCGACACAACGGGGACGTAGCGTGTTGGCAAGCATGTGAACCTCGGGAGAAAATTTACCGTGTCAACATTGTTCTTCCCGTTGGTTTGCAATCCCATTACACAAGCTAGTGATTACTTTCATATACATTGTGCTTGTGTAGTTGCTCTTATAATTAGTTAGCTTGTGTAGCTCACTAGTTACTTTCTTGCTTGTGTAGCATAGAAGTAGCTCCCTTGCGTGACTAATTTAGTTTGTATAACCTTGTTAGTCATATTGTTTAGTTTGTGTAGCTAAGTATTTGCGCTCTCTAATTTGGCATTGGTTGCATTGTTATTGAGCATTGCTAGTGAGCTTAGAAGATTTGTGCTTTTGCTTAATAGAATTGTGTAGGAGCTCCCCGGTGTATAAAATACTAGTGGTATATGTTTGTGTGACCTTACTACTAGAATTGGATAGGTGAGCTCTAACTAGCCCGACACCTTAGTTGCTTAATTATGATCTTTATAAGGTGTTTGTGAACTTCAATAGAGGGGTGTAGTCTTGGCTAGAACGATTGTTTTAATTCCGCACTTGTTTTCGGTTAGCCGATGCGATTAAATTTAGAAACGACTATTCACCACCCTCTAGTCGCCATCTCGACCTTACAGCTGCGCCGTCCGAAAGCCGCCAGGGCATGCTCTCCTTCTCGTCTGTGAGGCGACAAGGGCGCCTTCGGCTCCTACTCGGCGCGTCCATTGGTTGCTCCAGCAGCTCGTGTCTCCTTGCCGCGTTCTATTTCGTAGTAAGTTCAGTTAATTTCATTTAAATGTCAATTTCCCCCCTTTAATCTCTTTTTGTTAGCAATAATATGCCTACCATATTCAGTTTTTGTATTTGGTCACTAATCTAGTCAAACTGAAAGCGAAGTTATGCGGCGAGAATTAGTAGATTATAGAGATACATAGAACATGTATATGTAAGTATGGATAGGGATGTCTTATAGAATCAGAACCTAGCACCACCACCACTTTTTGATATATCTGTGTTGGATGGAGGGTAAATAGAGTAAAACTTTGTAGCTAATAATGCCATGTATCCCAAGCATGTAACAGTTGCAAAACTTACTCCCTCCGTCTTGTAATAAAGTGCATTCTAGCATTCAAAATTTATCCTAAAATATAATGCATTCTAAAGGACAAAAACCAATTTTGCATTAAATACTTTCCATTTATCAATCAATCATCATTAATCACGTTGATGATAGCGTCTGATTAGGAAATAAAATGAGGGTACATGCATCTTTTGTGTTCTCTCTTAATTTGTCTTAAAAATCCTAAAATACACTATATTACAGGACAGAGGGAGTATCTCTTAACATGTGTGGTTCCTGTGGCCAGCTCCTACACATACAACACCTGCCTTTCAAGCTGTATATACTGAACACAATTTTTTTCTTACAGGGAAGTTAATGATTTTGCATGTTTCCTTGTTCCTCAGGTTCACCTGGTGAACCTCTACTACTCTTATGCTAAGCATGTAGGGGTTCCTAATCCTTTTGGTAATCAGATTCAACTAACTTCATTGGAGAAGGTTCTCAAAACCGAGTCTAATGGATATGATGTTAATCAGAGGAAAAATGTTATTATTTGAGGAGTCCTTTATGTAACGGTCATCTCTGCATAGTACTTGCCACCTATGTACATTGGTGGCAAGGCTGACCCATTTGTGGTCCTGTACTTAAAGAGGTGAGAAACAAAAAAAGACGAGGGTTATTATCTTTTCCAATCTCAGAGTTATGTACGTCCATTTTTTTTCAAGGCTCTCATAATTCAGTATTATTGTAGGTTGTGACAGGCACGCTAAATTCAATATGAAACCAGACATTTGATTCATTGTACAAGATGCACTGCATGATTTGCTCATGGTGGAATTATGTGACCATGATATATTTAAAAAGGTGTCCATTCTGTCTCTTGCATATTGTTTGTTCATTTGAAATCTAAAACTCCCTACCTTGATTCTTTGTGGCTTCACGACATTACTTCTAATTTGTCCCTGTGTTATTCTTTATAAGTTTTTTTTCGGTTTTGTTGGCTTGACCAGATAAACATTTTGGTTTAACAAGTCAGAGAAAAACTATGCGAGAGGCTAACCGAGTGGCACAGCTAGGTTTTTGGTTGCTGTATGCAAGATTCTCCTGTTTCACAATTTCAATCCTACCTAAACACAATAATATATTATTATAAATAGCTGAATACTTTATTAACATTAGACCAATGAGTTTTATAATAATCTTGCAGTAACTAAATATGTAATCAAACCTGTGTTGTTTGCAATCAACATGCTTGGATTAGGATGACATTGTTCGTTAACTTTGCAAAAATCTTACGTTTTGTAAGATGTTGCCCACTTGTTAGGAGGTAATGACGTTTATTATCTCTTAGATCAAGATCTTAAATCACATCTAAGGGTTAAAACATAGGGTGGGTAGAAAATTTCAGATAACATGTATTTTTCAATTCCTTCGCTCTTTAAATGGGCTTGTTCGGCTGACCCTAAACTCGGCTTGATCCGCTTCTTTTTTTTTATCCGGAACAGTATTTTTCTCTCACAGATTCAGCCGTGAACAGTAAACTTCAGCCGCTACAGTGCTTTTTTATTGTCAGCCGAACAAGCCCACTCTCTCTAGATACGTAATAAAAACAATACATTAAAAAAACCAAAACTTTTTATAATTTGAAGCCTAGGGAGATGTCGCCAAGAGCAGGAGACTTGACAGGCGGCTTGCTCCGCCATGACCGCCAGTCTACATGGTGTCCTTGCACTTACCTAAACACTATTTTTTTAAAGGCTTGCTCTAGATTAAAAAAAACTAGTGTAAGCCGGCAGGTTCTGAATCTTAAAAAACCAACTTGGTGTAAGGAGGTTCTGATTTATTACTCTTAGAACATGATTACTTCTTAAGGCCTGTTTGGTTCCCTGACTAAAATTTAGCTACTAAAACTAGTGACTAAACTTTAGTCATCTCTGTTTGGTTCTTCTGACTAAAAGTGACTAAAGGTCATTAAAGTAGTTCAAGAAAGACCTAACTACCCCTAACGAATGCCCAAAGCAGAGTGGGGGACTAGCAATAATGAGGGGCATCCCTTGTTCATTTGGCACTTTAGTCCACTTTTAGCTACTCTTGGGTGACTAAAGTTTAGCTACTATTTTAGCTCTTTTTTAGTCAGTTTGTTTGGAAGTTTAGCTACTAAGATAACTAAAGTTTAGCTACTAAGATTTATCAGGGAGAACCTAACAAGCCCTTAATTTCTTTCCTTTTCTTGCAAACCTTCTTTTAACAGACAGCACTTCACTCAAAAGTGTCCACTCCAATGGGACCTAAACATTGAGGACCTCTACGAAAAAACGCTCGAGTTGTTTGGCCACGTATATAAATTTGATCCCTGCGATTCTCTCCGTGTCATCCAAATCACTGAAAACCATCACTCCGTCAGCACATTAAAATTCTACCCAACCTTCCCAAAATGCCCCCCAACCTCCGCGCTTACCTCCTCTCCGCCCTCCTCCTCCTCGCCGCCGCCGGCGCGCGGCGCCACGCGTCGCCGGCCGCGAACGCGTCCTCGGCTGGCGAGCCCGTCTACCTATGGCCGCTTCCCAAGAGCGTCTCGTCCGGGTCCCGGACCCTGACGGTGGACCCGGACCTCGCGCTCGACCCGCAGGGCCCTGGCGGCCGCTCCCTGGCCGTGGCCGAGGCGTTCCAGCGGTACCGGGGCCTCGTGTTCGCGCCGTGGGCGCACGCCGCGCGCCCGCGCGGGGCGCGGTACGACGTCACCAGGCTCACCGTCGTCGTCAACTCCGCCAACGACACGGTGCGTAGTGTAGCTTGCTGGCTGGCTGCTTTCGTCTGAATCAGTCAATCAGTGCACCGGCGGGTCTGACGTTTTTTCTTCGGTTCCGTGTATGTATGTAGTTGGCGCTGGGGGTGGACGAGAGCTACGCCATCTACGTGGGGGCGGCCGGCGGCGTCAATTCCATCGTCGGAGGAGCAATCATTGAGGTCTGGTCGTCTGGCCTCTTCCCCCCCACGGTTCTGCTCTGTTTCTTTTGTTCAATTCGGTGCAGCCATGCTCCCTGCCTCCTCGATCGCCTGCGAATTGTGCGGCTTTCAGAGTTGACTGTACAGTTACTAGTTCTCCAATCTTTTCGGATGTTACTCCTTTGCGTTGTTGGTGCTTTTCACTGGAAACCTGGAATTGTTCTAGTTGTTAGAGTTTTCTTAATCAGAATGAACTAAATAATGGTTAGTGATTGAAGTTCGTAAGGCAGTTGAGATAAACTATTAAGCACCACTGACATACCAATCACTTAATATCTTGTGCAAGTAGTCTTCAGGTCATGATTTTAGTCACAGTTGTCTTCCTTATCCATATGCACTAGGCCTATGATTGAGTGCACGCATGCTGGCATACTTGCATTTTATTGATCTTTTTTCTTTTACCAAGCATATGCTTGGTTTGCAAAGTTATTTGGCTTTCAATTTTATGTGCTTTGATGTTGTAAGTTGTAACTGAAGCCATACATTATCTGTACTTGTAGGCAAACACAATATATGGAGCTATTCGAGGACTGGAGGTACGAACTGAGTGTCCAAATGACACCTTTTTGTTTTCAAATTTTACTCGGCTTTTACTTTTAAGCCTGCTGATTGTAAACATGTTTTGCATGATCTCTGAAGAGCTAGTTAATACTTAAATTTTGATGTTTTAAGATTTTGGAGCATGCACATAAACATTGCCTGTTTAATGGATTTGCAGACATTCAGTCAACTTTGTGTTTTCAACTATGACACCAAAAATGTTGAAGTGCGCAATGCCCCATGGCATATTCAAGATGAGCCCCGCTTTGCTTTTCGTGGGCTGCTCCTAGGTAAAAATGTAGCTTAATGCTTGTACTAAAATCACTATGAGTTATCAACAAGAAACAAAACATAAAGTGTGAAATCATTAATTTTGCGTCTATCGCATGTATTGCAGACACCTCACGGCATTATCTTCCGGTTGATGTTATTAAGCAAGTGATCGACTCTATGTCATTTTCTAAGCTGGTAATACTACCGTCTTCTGGGCTGTGCTTGTTATCCTACCACTACCAGAACTCCCTTGTACTGAAACCTGGAGTTCTGTCCAGTAGAACGTTCTTCATTGGCATATCATCGATGAACAATCCTTTCCATTGGAGGTGCCAACATATCCAAACCTTTGGAAAGGTTCATACTCCAAATGGGAGCGCTACACCGTGGAAGATGCACACGATATTGTGAAGTATGTCATTATATCATTCGACTTTAGCATTAGTTTTTTTTTTCTCATCTTAGTTCTTTTGCTGACTGATGTTCTCTAATTGCTTCCATATCTTGCCTCATACTTCGCCACGGTAAAGCTACGCTAAGAAAAGAGGTATTTTCGGTCACTTTCTACTTCAGAGTGCAGTCATAGAAAATCCATGCATATATGTCTTTGATCTAATTGACTATATTATATAACTATTTCAGTCAGAAATTACAAGTCATAGTTTTTTTTTTCTGTCCTGAGAGAAAACAGCAAGGGGAACCCCACTGTAGTAAAATATATTTATTTAAGTAGGAAAAGGTGCTGTACAAGGCAAAAAACCCAAAGGAGAAACAAACTGTACTAGGAGAAGAAAAGAGAGAAAAAGGGGGAGGGTAAATTAGCATAGGATGTTTTCATATATCACTGCATTTTGTAATATCTTGCTTACTAGTACTATTCTTTACTTTTCACAGGTATCAATGTCATGGCAGAAATTGACGTTCCTGGTCATGCAGAATCATGGTGAGTTTGCCTGTAGCTTTTCTTATGATGTTCAGAGAGACAGAGTGACTTCTCCCTCCAGTGTAGATTTTTGCCAGTTGCTTTGTTAAGTGTGACTTAATTATCTCCTGCACAATTGAAGAAATTACTGGTTGATATTTCATGGCATCATTTAGTGTTACAAGTATTGATTCATCAAGCAGTTAGTCGCTCCTGGGCAGGGCAGAGCTTCATTGAGGCCAACGTGGGCCGAGGCCACCCCTGGCCCAGCAAAGCTTCTAGAATTAGAGCCCACTATGCAATATTTTGTAGACTTGCTCTTTGCTACGACCTAATTAGTTTCATTGGCCCCTGCTAGAATTTAGCCCAAGCTTCGCCACTGCTCCTGGGTATATGGTACCCATATCAATAAATCATCATAGTTCCCCTTATTTGATTTTGATCCGTTGATTTACATTTCAACTAAAAATAATGCATACAAGTCCAACTAGGTTATCTGATTAGGCATCCAAATGTTTACAATGGTTATGCGGCTTTTCTGCATTATTTGCTCTTGAAAATTTATGCACAAATTTACTTTTTGCAGGGGAAATGGATACCCAAAGCTCTGGCCTTCTCCCAATTGTACAGAGCCATTAGATGTCTCTAGTAATTTCACATTTGAAGTAATTTCTGGAATTTTGTCTGGTTAGTTCCTTTCACACTTCTTTCTCAATCTGGTTAAGTCATATGAGAACTTGAATACTAATCGGACAAATACTCATCCAGTTCATTTTATTTTCACACCATATGTTATTTTTTTGAAGAAAGCAAAAAGGAATACATTGAAATTATGCAATGTGGCATGTGGAATATGTGAGCCCCTATACAAGTTCATTTCATCTGGCATAGGAATTTATTTTCCAAACTGTACTTAGTACTTATCTATAAATGGTGTTCCACAACTCATTAGAAATATGATCTGACCAACTCAATATTGTGTTGTGTTTTGCTGAAATATGCTCTTCCACAACTAATGAAATGTACTTAAATAATTAGCCAATCTTTTTTTTTTTCTAGAACGACGCAGGAGAGCTGCGTGTCATTTCATTAAGTAGAGAATAAAACAACGTAGGAGAGGCAGAGCTTGCTCCCCCAAGAACCAATTACAGGACTCTTAGCATCACACACTAAGAAAATAATTGGCCAATCTTTACGTCAAAGAACTATTATTTCAGAAATTCAAGACCTGCCTTCAGTAAAACCTACTGGGAAACTATACGTTCTTCTTCTTAGATTGGACTGAGCTCTTGGATTGCTTTAGAAGCATCTGCAAGCAATCATAAGAGCAGATTAATCATAAATGTGCACAAAATGTCATCGAATGACAGTTGGAGCATCCTCCTGTACAAAACTTGTGCACCAAATATTGATAATGATCCATTGTAATTTCTCTGCTGACTTTTGTATATACCAATTTGCATTTACTGCATTATAACAAATTGATTCATCATTATGGACCTTTTTATCTTCTCAGATATGAGGAAAATCTTTCCATTCGGGCTGTTTCACTTGGGTGGTGATGAAGTATATACAGGTTAGCCGATTATGTTGCAAATTAACTTCTAAATAAGAGTTGACTCTATTTTAAGGAAGGTTGTTGTATGCATCTCTAATAATGCTGTTTTTTGTGCCATGACATACTATCATTTATGTTTGCTCTATTGTATCACTTTCAACTACAACTTCCATTCTATTTTTCAGAAACACTCTGACCAGAGTGATTCATACCACCTTCATAGATATCTTTTTGTATTGATAGGCAAAATAATAGTAAGTGACATTACTTCTGTTGCTCAAATGGATCTTGTGTGATTTTTCTCCATGTGTTGTCTGTTGAGCATAATGGTCACTGATACAGTAACACTATCGTGCCTAAATAGATGCTGATATATAGATATTTTAGTTACGAGTGCCTTTTTGTTTATCCTGAAGTTTTTCCCAGCTCATTCTAATATCCATGACAGGGTGCTGGAACACAACACCTCATGTGAGGCAGTGGTATGGAACCTTATCCAACAACTAGGTTTAATCCACAATTTATTGATATCTGTTGCTAGATGTTCCTTTTATTTAATTGTTTTAACATCCCCAATTCCAGGCTTAATGAGCGCAACATGACCACAAAGGATGCTTACAAATACTTTGTTCTGAGGGCCCAAGAGTTGGCAATTAAACTAAACTGGACTCCTGTGAATTGGTCTGTTCCTTGTATCCTTGTTTAGATAGAACTTTTGAGTTTGAAGGGAAGAGGATGAGCTTTAACTTTGACTTGCGCCTGCAGGGAAGAAACCTTCAATTCATTCAAAGAAAACCTCAATCCTCTGACAGTGGTGCACAACTGGTAAATCAAATCAATTTTATGCTACACAACCTGTTTCTTTCATTTCCTGACATGTCATATCTTCCATATCCAAACTAGTGGCCGATGCATAGTGCTAAATAAGTTTAACTTATGAAACACTTCAGGCTGGGGCCTGGAGTCTGCCCTAAGGTTGTGGCAAAGGGTTTCAGATGTATAATGAGCAATCAAGGTGTCTGGTACCTTGATCATCTTGATGTTCCCTGGGAAGATGTCTACAGTGGCGAGCCACTCGATGGAATCAGTGACAGAGACCAGCAAAAGCTAGTACTTGGTGGTGAAGTTTGCATGTGGGGTGAGACAGCAGACACATCCGATGTTCTACAAACAATATGGCCCCGAGCAGCTGCAGCAGCAGGTATGAGAGACGCATCATGGAAGTGTGAACCACAATCATTTTTCCATCCACTCTTTCCATAAGGACTCACTTGTCGCCATTGAAATTACTGTAGAGCGTCTGTGGAGTCAATTGGGGGCCATAACTGCCCAAGACGTAGAAACAACCGTCCTGTCACGGCTACACTATTTCAGATGCCTGCTGAACCACCGTGGGATCGCTGCGGCTCCAGTCACAAACTACTATGCTCGGAGGCCTCCGATCAGCCCAGGTTCATGCTTTGTTCAGTAAGCAGGAACTTCAGACCGAAGGTATCCACGAGGTGCTCTGCCTTCATCTATACACCCGCCATACTTTGACCAGAGAACTTGATGTTGTCCCTTACACTGTACCATATCTGTTTGTCATTCACAAAAATTATCTATACAATTCGTCTCTGTGTTTGATTCCCAAACTCAAATAAAACTGCGCCATTCAAATCTGACCGGGGAGAAGCTGGTCATCGGCATAACAGTAAAACTCAGGCACCTTTTTAACAGCCTTGTCATTGAATTCCTCCCACGTGTATGTGAACCAGGTTCAGCAACTAGACAACTGGGCAAAGCTCCTTTGAATTGAACTGGTAAGAGAGCAGTGATCTCAGTGTGGATATTTCTATTGCTGCCTTGTGCCTTGCTTGCTCGACTGCATTTGGATTTTTGGGGAAGCCGTCGCTGTCGGACGCCATCCTTTCCTGAGTTTGGTCTACCTGAAACCTGCTGGTCCAAGCTGCGCATTAATGGCGCGTGTAATTTGCGACCGCCTGTTGTGCTTGAGCGATGAGAATGGGTTTGGCCCCTTGTTATAGGTCACTGTCCTTCCCATGTCACCCTCATTGGCCATTTATACATCTCTGTGGCCTTCTGCTCTATATCCACTGCCATGTTTGGCTGCTTCTGAACCTGTGGTGACTGGCGGGCAGTGCAGTGCAGGTGAAGCATGGCATACTGGCCCTGTTACGAAAGTACTGTTCGCTGATTTGTTAGAAGAGAAAAACACTGTTCGTTCGTTGAAATAGCACGGCTCATGAGACAAAGCGAACAGGGCCACTATCCCCCCTCTCCTATGCCCTGCCCTGAACTCTGCTGAATTTCGCTGGCCCTGAACTCTGCTGAATTTCACTGAAAAGATGTGTGAAACTTTGTGTTGGAACCGAAGACTTGTGGACAGTGACACTGAGGCAGACTGGCTGGAGATTGGCTCTGCTATTCTCTATCTCTGAATCTGATGTGTGCTTCCATTCCATTCCATGTTGTTCGTTTCCTACCTGTGGGATTGGGAATGTGATGTGACGTGTCAGCGAGGTATACTCGTGGATACCTGTAAATCCGTACTTCCTCAGTCCCAAATTATAAATCATTTCAAGCTTGGAGAGTTAAACCATCTCAACTTTAACAAAAAAAATATATAAAAAAAATTATAAAGATTTATAACATTAAATAGACATACTATAAAAATATAATTAATAAAAAATTTAATGAGATTGATATCGTAAATGTTATTATCTTATCGTATAAATTTAGTCACTCTTCAAAATTCTTTTGCTCCTCTGGTTGGTTGTACGTGCCGACGTGCCGCTGCAGACAGTTTTTACTACTTGGACCGGTCAGCGAAGTAACTTTTAGCCACCGGTTTCTTGGACCCGATGCCACTGTTGTGACGCTGACGCGTACCTGCTATCTGCTAGGATGTGACGAGCCGGTGGAGGATGAGCGTATATGTCGACAAGTATCTGATTTGATCTGTTACTGAAATTACAAGATTTGAACGGGGAGATTCTGACGACGAAGTTATCATAAACTATAGTGTCTTGTTCGTTTCGTTAAAATTTAGCGGCCGCTGATGCTGATGTTGATTTATTATGAGAGAAAAATACTATTCTTTTGCTGAAAAGTACTGCTGAAAAACAGGACGGTATCTTCCAGAACATGTGATACATAATGCTACTCATTTTTCACGATGAGTAGTCAAACAGTTTTCAATTTAGCTAAATTCATAAAAAATAGTAACTTTTCCGATACAGTTAGATTGATTATGAAATATATTTGGCAGTAGATCTATTTACATTATATAATAATCCTAGTTAAATCTGAGTAAATTTGACTTGGCTCAAATATGGGTTTTAGAAAGAAACGAGTATTCTATGAACTAATAAGCTGTTTGAAACGTCACATAGTATTCGAAAACAAACAACAGAGTGCGCAAACGTCTCATATACCGATATACGTGAGACTGCGTTTATAGCGCTTCAAATATTGGCAAATCCATAACCGGACTATGAAGCTCACTGCTTCTCACCACGCTAGCCTCAGCCCTGATAAAAAAAACATATTATAGGAAAGATCATCAATGCAAAGAACAGAGAGAAGAAATAAGTATATAAATTTGCTATGAAAACAAACACAAGCCAGGTATCAAACATATTAAGCTTTCAGTTCGTTAAGAGAAAAAGAAAAATAAAGTGCTTATTTTGAGTTGGACCATCGTCCTCTGCGAATTTCCTGAAACTGCGGCGAGAGTAGCAGTAGACTGGATTCTTAAGACCCCTTTATCACACAAGGCGACAAGGGCAACAGCGTAAGCCTACACCTTGATGGCCATTCACTATGCAAAAAGATAAGGCAATGAGTACCCAACAGCATGACCACAGGAGCAAACAAAATTGTCTCCCACCTAATATTCCCATGACATTTTTTAGCAAATGGAATCCCCTTTTTTGTAGCAGGAGCACACATCAAGTGCCATCACTCTTTTCCTTTAGGGTCAAAGTTTGTCTTAACTCTTAATTTTAACTTTATGTACACCTCCGTCGTTTTACCGGTGTCCCGAAACTAACCAATCAATCATGTCCTTGCTCTACCAATATAAGATGATGACGTCAGGACACATCAATAGGTTCTCGATATGTAGCAAGTTTCATCCCCTTTTGAGGCAACCATTGGTGCGTAAGAGTTTTTGTCGATTCTCACCGAAGCTAAACTTTTTCATGCGACTCTTGTACGGTGCCCATAAATTAATTGCTTGGTTGTCGATATCGTAATCAATAACCTAGAGCATTCAAATCCTAGCAAATAACCATATCATTGATCTATTGAAAACCAACCAACTCATCGACCGATCGCGTCCTTGCTCCACCAATAAAGCTAGCGTCACAACACACCAGAAAAAATCGACTCCTGATATGCAACAAGATTCGCTGTCTCTCCAGGCACCTTCGAAACACAAGAAAATTCTTGTCGGTTCTTGCTCGCTAGAACCGAACCTTTTAAGACATGCGAGACACACAAAAGCATCTCCTTAACTTCGTCATCCGGATATCGACACCGCAATCAATAGCCTAAAGCGTCCAAATCGTCACAAAACACCCATCATCCGAGACAGGGAATATCTAATCCTATCGAAAGCGTCCCCGTCCCTCGGCACACTACCGTCCACGATTTTGTGTTTGCAAAGTGTCCAAAGAGCAGGTGCACCTAACATTTTTGGGGGGACATGACACGCAGTCTTCTTTCCTCCTGCCTTCCTCGACCAGCCGCTGCAGCGAGACCAGTCAACACCACCCCCGTCAAACCCGGGGCCCACCGCGCAGCCACCCGTCCGATCCGGGGCGCACGGATCCCGGCGCACATCCGACGGCCCTGATCGCCCCGGCGCCTCCTGAAAACCCTCACCCACTAGGGCCACTGCTTCCCCTTCCCCTCCGCTCCCCTCCCCGTCGTTCGAGAGGAGGGCAACCAACTGGTGGCGCGCCGATCTCCCGATCTGGTGGCCCGCGCCCGCCCCGATCCGCCGCGGACTGCCGCGCCCGGGCCGGATTTGCCGCCGCGGGCGGATCAGGTGCGGATTCCCCCCATTTTTTTGAGGATTTTTTTTTTGCCCCCGGCCGGGGCACGGAAATGGCCTAAGCGTTCTGCCGTCTCCGCGCAGCGTCCGTCGCCGCCTGAGGAGGCTCCGATTCGTGGCCGGTCCATGGCGACCCCCGACGACGGCCCGGCGCCGGCCGGGGCCGGGGGCCGCAAGTTCTGGCGCTCCGTGTCGTGGTCCGAGCCGCGGGAGCCGGCCCCGCCGCCGGACGCCGCGGGCGGGGCCGGGGCAGGTGGTAGCGGGGGCGGGCAGTCCCGCCGCGTCCCGCCGCCGCCGCCGCTCACCCCGCGGTCGATGAGCTCCAAGGCGCGGTCCTGCCTCCCGCCGCTGCAGCCGCTCGCCATCACCCGCCGCAGCCTGGACGAGTGGCCCAAGGCTGGCTCCGACGACGTCGGCGAGTGGCCCAACCCCACCACGCCCGGCGCCTCCAGGCCCTCCTCCGCCAAGCCCGGGGAGGGGCTCCGGCTCGACCTCTCCTCGCTCCGCTCGCAGGGACGCAAGGACCAGATCGCCTTCTTCGACAAGGAGTGCTCCAAGGTCGCCGACCATGTCTACCTCGGCGGCGATGCCGTCGCCAAGAACCGCGACATCCTGAGGAAGAACGGCATCACCCACGTCCTCAACTGCGTGGGTTTCGTCTGCCCGGAGTACTTCAAGTCCGACCTCGTCTACCGCACGCTCTGGCTGCAGGACAGCCCCACCGAGGACATCACCAGCATCCTGTACGACGTGTTTGATTACTTTGAGGATGTGAGGGAGCAGGGCGGCCGTGTGTTTGTGCATTGCTGCCAGGGGGTGTCACGCTCCACGTCTCTGGTCATCGCCTACTTGATGTGGAGGGAAGGCCAGAGCTTCGATGACGCCTTCCAGTTTGTCAAGGCTGCCCGGGGGATTGCGAATCCAAACATGGGCTTTGCCTGCCAGCTTCTCCAGTGCCAGAAACGGGTGCATGCGATTCCATTGTCCCCAAATTCAGTGCTCAGGATGTACCGCATGGCGCCTCACTCCCAGTATGCCCCTCTGCATTTAGTGCCCAAAATGCTCAATGACCCATCCCCTGCCGCCCTCGACTCTAGAGGCGCGTTCATTGTACATGTTCTGTCGTCCATCTATGTCTGGGTTGGAATGAAGTGCGATCCGGTAATGGAAAAGGATGCAAAGGCTGCTGCGTTTCAGGTAGTGAGGTATGAGAAGGTGCAGGGGCACATCAAGGTTGTGAGAGAAGGTTTGGAGCCACAGGAGTTTTGGGATGCATTTTCAAGTACACCACCTAATTCAGAGAGTAATACAAAGATTAGCAAGGACCAGATCGATTCAGCATCCAAGAGTAACCCAGGAAGCCGGAGAATTGAGTCTTATGACGCTGATTTTGAGCTCGTCTTCAAAGCAATCACTGGGGGAGTGGTTCCAGCGTTCTCAACTTCTGGGGCTGGGGACGAGACCCATCTTCCAGCTAGAGAAAGTAGCTGGAGTTTACTGAGGCACAAGTTTATCTCCAGGTCGCTAGCTCGTGTTTATTCAGATTCTGCTCTAATCAGGGATTTTGATCCACGGGTAGACCGTGTACAACACCTGGCTGCTGAAGCATCAACCTCACCTCCTTTCCTTTCTCCAAGCTCCTTGTCATCAGATTCAAGCATCAGCTCGAAGTATAGTTCAGACTCACCCTCCTTATCACCTACAACTAGCTCCCCACCATCATTTGGCCTCTCGCCTGCTTCATCTAATCTGCCTCATGCTTTGGTGCCATCGTCCAGGTCTCCCCTTTCTCAATCATCTAATGAGGGAGCTTCGAAGCCTTCTGGCCTGCAATCAATGCGCTCTCCTTCCAAGACCTCTTCTATAGCAGAAAGAAGAGGAGGCTTCACACTTCTAAAGCTACCATCTCTCCAAAAGGATCTTGTATTGCCACCAAGGGTACCGTCTAGTATTCGCAGGACTGAGGAGGCCTCAGATAAGAGTAGTACAAATGGTGTTAAACAGCGGACTGGTGATTTTTGCTCAGAAAAATGCACTGGTAATAGTTCAAGCTTGCATTCTGAAACTAGATTAACTGAGCGCACTGACAGTAACTCAGAAGCTTGCAGTAATGCACAACTGTTAGTCTACCAGTGGCCCAGCATGGAAAAGCTAACTACATTTGCACGCAAGGATCTTGACCCAAAGTCGGTTTTGATTTTTGTTACATCGAATGCCATCAGAAGTGAAGCAGTTAAAATGGTGTATGTATGGGTAGGAGGCGAAAATGAAAGCAGCAAGAGTGTTGATGCTGTTGATTGGCAACAGGTCACTGGTGATTTTCTTCATCGAAAAGGCCTCAGCGATGCTCTTCCTGTCAAGGTATGTGCATACTGTGCATCACCTCTACTTTTCTGCACTTTGTTCTGCTTCTGAACTTTTAGCTACCAGTCAAGCTGTATAAAGAGCTTGGAACTTATATTTAGGGGTTGCTGGTTTCTTGCTTTGGCTGATGACTCTTTTAGTGGTAACAGCACTCAAATAGTATAAACATTGCAACTGAAACTGAAATAGCAAACTCCAGTGAACTTCAGTGTTATATGAGGCCCACATGCTTCACCTACCTATCTTAGATTCTTCCCACCCTTTTCAATTATTGATATTAGTCAACATAGATTGTTAGCTTGTAACATCGATGTTTGGTCATCAAGAAAAGATTGGATTATATATTCTGCTAGTGATGTGTCAAAAGACGATACATAAGGCCAATCAGTTCATGTCGCATTAGGCATTACAGACATGTGTTTCTAGGATTGCTTCAGTTATCCTAAACTTATGAAAGTTGATACTTGATTGAATTTCTGCGACCGAAGGATAATGATCTATTAGCATCTGGAAATTTACCAATGAACTCTATCTGTATTTTATTGTTTGTTTACTTTCACACAATGGTAATTGTTTCTCTATAGATATCATTTTATACTACATAAACATCTGCCAGAGTGCCAGTAGTTCTTAATGTTTGAAACTTTGAATGTAGAATTGTTTGGTTCAATTAGTGACTGATAAAAAGGTCGAAATCAATTATCAGACAACAACTTTGGTTATTTTCATGTATCAGTGACAAGATTGGATAGAATACTAGTCTGTCTTAGGCAGGAAAAGGCCCTGTGAGGTTGGCTTCTGTACCTGATTTGTATAATTTACAGCGCAGACAAGTTTGACTGGAAATGATATCTTGTTAAGTATATTGTTATCTTAGATTACTTATCTTTATTGTTTGTAATCTGCCATGCCTATATAGTCAAGGACCCACGGCATCTGATGATGTTTGGTGGACTAATAAACATGAATTATTTAGTGTCAGGTTGACTCGGTTCTAGTTGAGAATACTGGAATAATGATTATTAGTCCCTAGAGACCACTCTTGACCCATTCTAGCTATTAGTTTTTGTCATATCTGTCCTGTTTGTAGTGTAGACTGAAATGTTAGGAGGTTGTTGCTGTTTGTCTGTCTGTGCACATCTGCAGAACTTCAACTTGGTGTTTTTGCCATGTGTCACTCCAGGCTCCAACTAATCATACTGATAGTAATAGTGATTTGATTTGGTTGGCATTTCTTGTGGAATCCCTTGCTGACAACAGAAAGCATGCTCCAGCTACCCATGGCAGTGATTGAATCCACAGCCTTGGCTTCTATCTTGAACCCTGCATTCCTGCTTGGTACCACTTGTTATTGATTTGTTTGAAGATGTTTGGCTAAACTCTGATGATTTTTATGCGGATGCGGACCTGTGTAATGTGTCTTTTTTTTTTCTTGAGCACGTGTGTAATGTGTCATGTGTCTGAACATTCCCATGTGCCATACAATATTACTTGTTGCTATTTTACCTTTATTCTGTTTGACAATTTATGAATTTTGTTACTAACTCTTGTTGGGTTTTAACAATACAGGTTTTCAAGGAGCATGAAACTGAGAATCTTTTGGAACTACTGAATGTTAGTTAACATTAGGCGGTAGCTATCAGGATATTGTAGTTGCTTAACAAACTCAGGCACAAATTATCATTCAACGAAGGCATGCCCTCCAGCATCAGTCGGTACCGATGATTGTCAGCGAGGTATAAAGCCACTACCATTCCCTTGAACATAATAGGCTACAAACATATTCCATTTTAGTAGAAGCGATGGATCGGCAACTGCGCCTCATGATCTATCTTTTGTCCAAATGGCAGGAGGCTGCCATGGGCGTTATATCCGTTGTGAATTAACACTCATGGTGTAGGCGCAATCGGCCAATTGGGTGTATATTATCCGCTCCCCTGTAATGTAAGCTCAGATACTGGGAGATGGTGTCAACAGTTACTTTTAGCCTAAACATTCTTGTACATCTTTGAAAGGAACAGATTTGTAATCCTCTTGGCTTATAAATGGCTCCATTGGTCATATAACTTTTAAACTATATAGAACTCAGTTGTTAGCTGCCAATCTTCTGTTTTTCTGCAGTTTATAACATCAGAACTCAGTTCGTAGCTGGTAATCTTGTTTTTTGCGCGTTGCTCTGCTGTCAGTGAAAACTCATACCGGATTACTATGATATGCATTTTTTACAGGGCTGTGATTTGCATTGATGTCTTCATACCGATTACTGTGATATGCATTGATGTCTTCATACCGATTGCTGTGATTGATATGCCTTGATGTCTTTGTAGGTTATCCTTGCACTCATATGCATTGATGTCTTCATGCCGATTGCTGTGATTGATATGCCTTGATGTCTTTGTAGGTTATCCTTGCTCTCATATTTTATTTCATTGTGATGTTCTTGTGGGTAGAAGCCGGATCACAAGACTCATGTCAGAGCTTTCACTCGTATTTATTTCATTGTGATGTTCTTGTTTGTGACTGTAGGATAAGTCACAGCTGTCTTGCTGCAATTTGCAAGCCGGCAATAACCTGTTTCGTGCGAATTGCAATGTAATTCCGGCCTTTGCTAGATCAGATACTAGAGCAACTCTAAGAGATTATGTACAATAAGAGTCTACAATCTATGATTTAGCCATTCTCTAAAATAGAACATCCTCCAAAAAAAAAAGTAGAGTAATGCAACAGTCTTTCTAATTTTTTTGTTATCTATTTTTTAAAGCTGACATGTCATGCTGAGATTGGTTCACTTCTCCATTTGCTGTACTCCCACCATTTGCTTGCACACCACAAGGCAAATGACGATCCTTCACGACTTGCTTGGCTTGCTTTTTTACCCGGCGAGAAGTGCAGATGGCGAACCTTCACAGCTTGCTTGGCTTGCTTTTTTACCAAGCGAGAAGTGTGGGTGGATAACTTGTTATTTTGGAAAACATGATAGAATAACTGTTGGAGGAGCTTCTGGATGAACTCCACGACGTGCAGTTCTTCACCAAACTGGATCTCTGGTCCGGTTATCACCAAGTGCGGGTGCACCATGAAGACGTGGCGAAGACGGCCTTCCGTACTCACCATGGTCACTTCGAGTTCTTGGTGACGCCGTTTGGCCTCACGAACACGCCGGCCACGTTCCAAGCATCGATGAACGCGGTGCTGCAACCATTCCTCCGCAAGTTCGTCTTGGTGTTTTTCGACGATATACTCATATACAGCCCCTCCTGGTCGATGCATCTCCAACACATCAAAGCAATCCTCACGGCATTGCGGGAACATCACCTCTGCGTCAAGCGCAGCAAGTGCTCGTTCGCTGCCTCTACGGTGGCATATCTGGGCCATGTCATCTCGCTAGGAGGAGTCGCCATGGACCAGGACAAGGTGGCCGCGATCACGTCCTAGCCGCCTCCGCGCTCGGCGCGCGGCCTCCGGGGCTTCTTGGGTCTGACGGGGTACTATCGGCTTTATCCAGGACGTCAGGTCCATTGCCGCGCCCCTCACCCAGCTGCTCCGGAAAGACGCGTTCGCGTGGAACGACAAGGCCGCCACGGCGTTCGACGCCCTCAGCGAGCCTGTCTGCTCATTGCCCCCATTTGCATCTTCCGTGATTGAGCAGCCGTTCACCGTGGATTGCGACGCGTCTGGCTCCGGCTTTGGCGCGGTGCTTCACCAAGGTGCCGGCGCCATCGCTTTCTTCAGCCGACCCTTCGCACCCCAGCATTTGAAGCTTGCAGCTTATGAGCGGGAACTGATCGGCTTGGTCCAAGCCGTTCGACAGTGGCGTCCATACCTCTGGGGCCGGCGCTTCATCATGCGCACGGACCACTACGCGCTGAAGTTCATGCTTGATCAGCGCCTTTCCACGGTCCCTCAACACCGTCACCGATGTCCTCTCTCGCCGCGCTGTCCAGGCCGTCCTTCGCCCTCTTCGACGACTTGCGCTGTGAGCTGAACGACAACGCCGAGCTCCGCTCCCTGTGGGACTCCATCGTCGCCGAGCGTGGCGCGCCCTGGCACGTCGTGGATGGTCTGATCCTCCACGGCGCCCGTGCCGATTTTTTTTTAATTTTAATACTTTTTCAAAACTAATTTGAAATCTAATATTCTCGGTTTTTTTAAACTAATATTTTTGACCGTGCCTATTGTCCTGGCACGACCAAATACCTGTGCCGCGCCGTACATAGTGGCACGGCAGAGAATTAATGTGGCGACGACTAGAAGCGCTGACCGCTGACGTGGTAGAACCTACCGTGTCACGGCTCATGGCGCGGCAGTCCGCTTATTAATTCGCCGGCGGTGCCTCGGACGTGACTGGTGACAAGAAGATGGATGGAAGTGACGAGCAGCACTGCAACATGGCACGCCCTTGCATGGCTTTGCACTTGCACGACACTCGCCACAGGCCAGGGCGAGTGTGTTCAGAGTACGTGCTCCTCCTGGCAGGCAGTCTGGCAGATGAGATGTGATGTGACTACAGGTTTCGTACTGGCACCTCTTACACGCTGCACAGTGATTTTACTGTAGGTTGGGTGCCCTCGACGCGTCCCGTCTCCAAGTCCACCGTGGACGTCTCTCCAATTCTCCATGGCCCATCGGTAAAATCACAACACCATAGCATGCACCTCGGGCAACCACTAATATATGTTTTAGATACGTATTATTCCTTTTTTAATTACTCCCTCCGTTTCACATGAAATAATGCACTTCAGGTTTTTCAAAGGGTAAAAAAACCCTAAATTTAATATACAAAGATATATTAACATTTACAATACAAAATAAGTATCATTAGATTAATTATGAAATATATTATCGTACTAAACTATGTGAAAGACATAAATGTTAGTATTATTTACTATAAACTTCATCAAACTTAAACTAGTTTGACCGGCATAAATCATGTAGTTACGTTCTTTTGTGGACGGAGGGCATAATTCTTACCTTGAACTGTTTCTCACTTAGCCTGTGCGTTTGGTAGCACTTAAGAGAGGAGCTAAAAAATCAAGCTTTGACCTGCTCTGCTTTCGTTCGATGGGGCTTAGGCCAACATGTGTTTGGCTCATGCTTGCAG